TTTTACAATTGTTAAATAATATTACAATTTTTTATAATAATAATTAATAATCAATTAAGTTAATATAAATTAAAAAGTTTCAAACAGTTCAATTTGTCAAATTAATCTAAACGTTGTTATTCGAATGATAATGATCGTGAATCGTCATTTAATAACATATGACTGTAATATTAAAACGAAATATGTTTTGGAGAACTTTATATAACATTGTAACAAATCTGAGAGGAAGCATTCAATGATATTGGTTGAATAAAGATAAAGATATTAATTAGATTAAGTAAAAATCAGGAAAACAATACGGAACTCTTCGATTAATTTATGTTTACTTGTCGAAATACATGACTCATGAAAAATATTTTATACAAATTATATATAAAAATTATGGTAAATATGTGTTCATCGGATCATCTAAACTGTAAATTTTATAATACTTCAAAAATTTTGATCACATTGCTTATGCAGATCAGTAATAAAATTAAATTAATAATTTGCAATAAGCTATCATTTATTATCTATTCAAAATTGTGAATTTATTATCTTATTTTCAAAAGGCTAGATTATTTTTTTTTTCATTTATTTCGTATTAAAATATTCCTCTTTAGCCAACGTGTAACATAAAAATCAATAAATTGTCAAAAATAAGTTTGTCATTTTTTTCCCGTGTTGTAATCTCAAGTTATATATATAACTTGAGATTATAGAATTATTATCCGGTATTTCTCTCGATATTTATAAAAATTTTAATTTGCATAAAATCCACTGTTTAATCATGAATTTAAATTTTCAAACAAAAGAGTTGTTATATTAAAATTATATCAATGTCATACGTTATTTTTTTAGACGATAAAATATTCAATTCAACAATATTTTTCCATATTTTTTTTAAAGCAATTATTTAATTTTTTCTTTTAATCAAATGTCTCGGAACATGTAAATACATGTGAATAATTTATGAACTGATCTATTACACAATGATCGATTGTATTTCTGTTCGATTGCGAAGTTACATTGTGTTGCGTTTGATAACACATTATCAAATGATAATACAACGATTTGTTGAATCAGCTTCTGAAATGGAATTTGATTCTCGCTTAGTTTGTTCAAAACATTACACTTCTTCAAAATAATTTTCAATACGTGTTTTTCAATTAATTAAATTTATCAAATGCACAGATTAAATATTCGTCGAATGCTGTTCGTTTTTATTCAATACCAAGTGTATGCGAGCACCATTGTAGTAACCTAATTTTTTGATTGTTTAATACCTACTAGAATGTTGTACAGATAATGTGAGATGTTTAAAATAATTATTAAAAATTCATATTGTGATATATCGAATAAATACATATATATAGTTCAATGTCATTTATATTCATATTTCAGAGGTGAATGCTTTGTTATGTACTTCTCATTGAACTTGTAGATTATCGATTTCTTTGAGCACTCATAGAGTTCATCAAACTTCATTAGCACTACAATGATTATCGCGATGACAGTGTACTTTTGATCAATGGAATACCTACATATATCATTTATAATCTCGATCTCTCAGTTCGACACAAAGAAGCAGTTATGCAGAAAGCTCGTCGATACATGGCACACGATTTTCCAAGTTTC